TTCGCGGCTCGTGCAGAGGAGCGCACGCTTCCTGCCCCCTGCCAGCACTAGCGGGATCCGAGCGGGGTGCGGCACCGTGCGGGGCGGCACCGGCACTGCTGTAGCCCAGGCGGGAGCCCGGTCCCGGTTCCAGCTCCTGCCCAGCACAGCGGGTTTGCTGGGCCAGACGGGCTGCAACGAGGGGAACAGCGGATTATAGGCGTGTTGCTTGGGCTCCGAGGGCCGCAGGAAGGGGTTGGAGCTGGGACAGCGAGGAAGTGAGCAGAGGAGCTCAGCGTGCTGTGCTGCCCGGTCGGCTCTCTGTAACACAGCCCAGCTGGGACCGCGCTTCTCCCTCTGGATCACGGGAGACACGAGATGACCTCGGTGTGCAGCTCTGCACGCATGAATTGATGGAAACTTTCAACTCCCCATGCTTCCTTTTGAGTGTCTGAATGTGAAGCCCCCAGGGGGGAATTTCCACTCCCATTCCCCTTCCCTGGCAGCCCGCAGTTTCCCCTCGGGGACCCAGCAGGCAACATCTGCCTCTAGCGGCCCTTTCAGGGTTACCTTTTGTGCGCGTAGTGCTGTGCTGATGGCTCACCTGGGGATGTGCAAACCCCTCCCAAGGCTTCTGCTCAGGCTGTCCCGGCAGCTGCAGATGCCTTTAGGGCACAGCTGCCGACCGTGAGCACAGCCAGCATCTGCAGCAGCTCTGGCACTGGGCTGTGTAATAGAGGCTGAAAAGCTGAGGGCCTGTGGCTGACTGGAGCACACGTCGAGAACGCGCCGAGCAGCACATCAGTAAAGTGCAGCCCAGGCTGCCTCGTGCAAAAGGGCGCACGGTGCTGAGAACCGTGCCCTGAAGTGAGCGCGGTGTGCGTGCTGAGCTGAATGGGAAGCGGCGCCCCCTGGTGGGGGAGGAGGGAAATTTAGCCGCCGAGGCATTCCTGGTGCAATGGAGGAAGTGGGCTTGTTTAACGAGAATACGAGGCTCCAGGGAGACCACACTGTTGCCATCCAGAACGTGAAAGAAAAGCATGAACTAGTGGGAGAACGGCTGTTTAACAGCACCTATAGTAATGGTACAAGGAGGAATGGTTTTAAATTGAGACAAGGGAGATTTAGGTTAGATATTCAGAAGAAGTTTTGCAGTCAGAGAGCAGTGACACAATGCAAGTTGTTGCCCAGGGAGGTCATGGATGTCCTATCCCTGGATGCATTCGAGGGCAGGCTGGATGTGTCTCAGGGCAGCCTGGTGTGGTGGATGGTGACCCTGCGCATAGCAGGAGGGTTGAAACTAGATGGTCATTGAGGACCTTTTCAACCCAGGCCATTCTACGATTTTGTGATTACCTTGAGATCTTCACTGTAACACATCACCTTAGAGAAGCTCACAAAGCTCCAAACTAACCCTGGGTCTCTTACAGTAGATCTGTGTCAGCAAAGTGGCTTGACATGAAGCCGAGTGGGATCTCTGTAGAGGTGTGAAATTGAGAGCCATCCCTGATTGTGGGGAGATCTTGTTGTGCAGCCCATTGCTGTGCAGGAGAGCTCAAGGGGCACTTGGGCTGCTCCCTGTTTAAGGGTAAGATGACTGCCTCCTTGCTATGCATTGTCTTTAGGCACACAGTCCATGTACCCTCACCTGTTGAACTGGGTGTCAGTTCTTTGTGCCACCCAGTTGGAGTCAGCTTTGTGATTTGTAATCAGCTTCAGCCAGAGTGTTACCAGTGCTGTTGCTGCTTGTGTTCCTGTGCAAGGCCTGCTGTGCCATCCCCCAGGCAGTGCCCTGCAGATGGGCTGTGGAGGGCTGGGCTGGGACAGGGACTGCTGCGTTCCCTCACAGCTCCCCTGCCATTTCTCTTGTCCCTGCAGGCTCCAGTTCAACTCTGCCTTCCAGCCGTGATCATCTCAGCTGCAGGAGAGCAGCAGATGGCCACAGCACATGCATCTCAGGTAGGGGCTGGAGGAAGCAGGCAGGAGAGGCCGAGGGGTGAGGGATGTGAATGCAGGGGGAGAGGGAGGTGGCCTCAGCCAGCGTGTGTGTGTGCTGGGGCCAGAGAAGCGGCTGGGACAGGAGTTTGTGTCCTGTTTGAGCTGCTTCCCTGGGCCTTGGCTGTTCCCAGCAAGGAGCCTCTTTGCTTGCAGGAGCCCGTGAGCTTTGTGGAGGTGGCTGTGTATTTCAGCAGGGAGGAGTGGGCGCTGCTGCACCCTGCGCAGCGAGCGCTGTACCGGGACGTGATGCTGGAGACGTACCAGTGCGTGGCCTCGCTGGGTGAGGGCTTTGCTGCCTTTCCTCCTCGTTAGGCACCTTTGGCTGTGCAGAATGAGCCTCTGCAGGCTGGAACTAACATAATTGCCTTGCAGTTACATACTGATAACTACAACAGCAACAAAGGAAAGACTGAGAATTGTGATTTTCAGAAAGGATTTGTATGCACAGCAGACTCATAAACGCCCCAGAGTCAGTGCTGGCAAGCAGGCATCAGCCAGGAGGGAGAAAACCAGCCCTTGTGTTGGTGCTTTACATCGTGCCAACATCTCCAGCTAACAGATGACTCCCTGCTTACTCCTTTACAATGTAGGATTTTGCACTCAGTTGCCATGAACATTTTGATGCCTTGGTCATTGATATATTGTCAGAAAATAAACAAACTGTTCTCAAGTTAATGTTAAGGAAAAAAATCCCTTTAGAGTTTTCAGAGTTGTATAAGGACTCTTTGCTAAAAAGGAAGCTGTGGGCCCAGTGTCATTCAAGCTGAAATTGAGATTTCTCCCTGGGGAGGGGACACAGAGTGGAGCTGTTGAACAGGCACTGTGCCAGAATGATGGAAATGCTCTCATCTCCCCTGTTTCTCTCATTGAAGCGCGACTTCCAGTCTCCAAACCCATGGTGATCTCCCTGCTTGAAGGAGGGGAAGAGCCCTGGATCCCAGATGTGCGTAGCCCTGAGGCCGTGCCAGGAGACCTCAGCCCAGGTGAGGTGGTGGAGGGAAGGAGGAGGTTGGGTCTGGAAGAGCCATCTCTGTCTGCATTTTATTTTGGGCACTGTGTGCTATTTCTGGATTTCCTGTCATCCAGCAGGAACTGGGATTGCAGATGTACTGGAGGACCTGGAGGAAAGTGGTGTGGCCAAAAGGCGGTGGGGTGGTGTCTGTGTGGAAGAAATCAGAAGGGATGTCCAAGGAGGCCTGGAGCAAGGTCAGGGTGAGCACATCATGGAGCCACTGGGAAAGGGTCTGGGAAAGACAGGATGCAGCCCACAACATTTCAGTGTAGGTCAAAAGGAGCCTGAAGAACCCAGGAGCAAGGATATGTGCCAGCAGAAAATGCAGAATCCCTGCACTGAGTGTGGAAATAGCTTTGAAAAAGATTCCAGCATCATTAACCACCAGTGCATACACTCTTCAGTGACCACAAACAAGACCTCTGGGTGTGGGAAGAGCTTCAAGAGCTGTTCTGCATTGAAGCTACACAAGCGGATACACACAGGACAAATGCCATTTCAGTGTCCTGAGTGTGGGAAGAGCTTCAGAAGGAGTTCTGAATTGCAGCTGCACCAGCGCTTCCACACAGGGGAGAGACCCTACGAGTGCTCTGACTGTGGGAAGAGCTTCACAATGAGTTCTGATTTAAAGAGGCACCAGCGCATCCACACAGGTGAAAAACCCTACAAGTGCTTTGAGTGTGGAAAGAGCTTCACAATCAGTTCTATTTTAAACAGGCACCAGCGCATCCACACAGGGGAGAGACCTTACAAATGTCCTGAGTGTGAGAAGAGCTTCAGAAGCAGTTCTGAATTGAAATTGCACCAGCGCTTCCACACAGGTGAAAAACCCTACAAGTGCTCTGAGTGTGGGAAGAGCTTCAAGAGGTGTTTTGAATTGAAGCTGCACAAGCGCATACACACAGGAGAGAAACCATTTCAGTGTCCTGAGTGTGGGAAGAGCTTCAAAAGCCATTCTGAATTGAAGCTGCACCAGCGCTTCCACACAGGGGAGAGACCCTACAAGTGCTCTGAGTGTGGGAAGAGCTGCACAAGCAGTTCTGATTTAAAGATACACCAGCGCATCCACACAGGGGAGAGACCTTACAAATGTCCTGAGTGTGAGAAGAGCTTCAGAAGCAGTTCTGAATTGAAGTCGCACCATTGCATCCACACAGGTGAAAAACCCTACAAGTGCTCTGAGTGTGGGAAGAGCTTCAAGAGGTGTTTTGAATTGAAGCTGCACAAGCGCATACACACAGGAGAGAAACCATTTCAGTGTCCCGAGTGTGGGAAGAGCTTCAAAAGGAGTTCTGAATTGAAATGTCACCAGAGCATCCACACAGGAGAGAGACCTTTTCAGTGTCCTGAGTGTGAGAAGAGCTTCACAAGAAGGTCTAATCTCAAGACCCACAAGCACATCCACAGTGCATGCAGGCTATAGAAGAATCACAACATATGGGGAGCCTTCAGAAGCAGTTCAAGCCTCATTACCTACCAACACATCCACACAAGATACAGAACCTGCAGAGCTCCGAAGGTGGGAAGAGCTACAGCCAGAGCCACAGCATGATGACCACCTGTGACTTTGTGTGGTGATGAACCTTACAAATCTCTTGAGTAGAGCAAGAGCTCTGCGGCCAAACTCAATCCTCTTTCTCCTTCGTTGCATGAGAATTATGCATGTTGCTGTCCTTCAGCTGCAGTTTCTGTGTTGAGTGGCCACGCAAAGGAGAATCCAAAGTAGGATGTGTCACAGCCATGTATGGGAAGAGCTTTTGCCAGGGGATCCTCTCAGACCAATGACCCTAGAAATGCCTGCACTGCAGGAAGAGCTCATCCTGAGCTCAGTCGTCATTAAACATTGTCCAGTCCTTGTGGTAAGGAGGCCCTGCAAGTGTCTCTGGTGCAGGAAGTTTCTCTCTGGGCTGGCACCTGCTTTCCCATGGGGAAACCCCCTACAGAGAGACCTTAAGAATTTTGGTGAGCCCAAGAATGAGGGAGACCCAGATGCTTCTCCCCACACGGGAGGAGTTTGCAAAGGAGATGGCATCACTGGCACCCTCTGCAGAATGGATTTAACCCAGGAGCTTCAGATGGCCTCTCCTTGCTACCCAAATCCTGCTTTCCTCTTCTTTCTTCCTGCCAGCAGCTTTTTGATGCCATTTCCTAAGGAGAGGCGTCTGTGTGGGGATGTTCTGTTTGTCTGTGTGCATGTGTTGCTCTCAGTAATTTGTGAGTGCTCTGATGAATCTGAGGGAAGAGTCAGGAGAGCAGTAACGTGGATCTTGGATATTTTCTGAGAATCATCTGTAGAGGAAAGGGAAGGGGGTGAATAAAGTAGCTGAGTTGTTCTGGAGCTTTCTTCACTGTCTTGTTTTTTGTTCTTAAATGTCAGCACGTGGAATGAGGAGAGGGAAAAGTGCAATCAGGATTTGGTTTTGGTGCCTCCTCCAGCCCACTGCTTGCTTTTGGGAAGGCATTTCCGTACCAGGAGGGAGAAAAACAGGCCTTCTATTGGTGTCTATTGGCCTTTTGTTTACAAGTCTTGTGTCTTTTCCTTCTTTTCCTTTCTGCTGTCACACTCACCACCTGAAAGTTAGTGCACCCATTTTTGCCTGTCAGGAAAATGCCTGTTTGCAGGGCAGTATCTGTGTGCATGCTTATCTTTGCAGGTATCATCACAGAATCGCAGAACTGTAGGGATTGGAAAGGACCTCTAGAGATCATCGAGTCCAACCCCCCTGCCAAAGCAGGTTCCCTAAACCAGGTCGCACAGGTAGGCATCCAGGCAGGTCTTGAACATCTCCAGAGAAGGAGACTCCACGACCTCCCTGGGCAGCCTGTTCCAGTGCTCCATCACTGACTACGTTTCCCTCTTGCATCCCCACAATGCTATCCCCATGCTGGCTGTACCTCCCTCTCCCTGACAGAGCTGCCATCTGTGTCACAGGGGTTGTGCTGCACTCACTGACATCTCTGTGTCTGCTGTAATTAAAAATACCCTTAAATATGACAACTCCTTTTTTGGACAGTGCTCCTGGAAAACTTTGTCTGCAACACTGAGACCTCCCTCATGAACAGTTCAAGTCTTGAAGACTTGAGGGAAAGGCCTTGTTAGGTCTTTCTGCACTGTAATGAGCCCCACAGCTTATGTGGTGTCCATGAACTTCAGATACTGAGAGAAGACTGCAGCAACCAAATGATGAAGGTGCAGTCAAAACGCTGTCCAGAAATGTTGGAGAGTGTTGGAGTGTTAATTGGTCCCTGTGGAGCCATTACCATCAAAGCCTCCCCACATCCATGTTAGAGCAGATAATTGGAGGCCGTGATTCCCAGCAGGCAAAGGCCCTGTGCAGGTGCTTTCAAGCTGAGGAAAGCCCTTGATATGTCTGATGCAACAGAAGGGTAGGGCCATAGCTGCAGCCTCTGGGAAGGGTAGTCCTGTCACTGATGGCCCAAGGCTCTCCCACAGTCAGTGGGATGTGGGTGTGGAGTGTTCTGTGAGGGAGAATGATAGGACACCTCCCTACAGGGCTGTAAGAAGGCAAGGAGCAAGGACAAGGCAAGGAGCGTGGAACAAGGACAACGTGTGTACTTGTCACGGAGTTGACCAGATCAATCTATGTCCGTGACAGAGGCAACAGGCCTCGGCCCTCCCCTCCCCACCCCAGTCCCACAAAAATGGGAAGGAAGGAAGGGAGGAAAAGAACAGCGGCAACAATCTAGGGAGTAAAACTTATTTTACTATAATATCAGAATACAAGATAACAGAATATATTACAATTTAATTGAAATTGAGATTAATAAATCAGACAAGATGAGAAGGGTACAACAGAAGGGTAGGGCCATAGCTGCAGCCTCTGGGAAGGGTGGTCCTGTCCCTCCCTGATGGCCCAAGGCTCTCATATTGTCAGTGGGATGTGGGTGTGGAGTGTTCTGTGAGAGAGAATGATAGGACACCTACTGGCCTCTCTACAGGGCTGTAAGGAGGCAAAGAGGCCCCCGTGGCACGAGGACAACGTGTGCCCTCCTGAGCCTCAGCAGCAGACACAGCTGCCACATCGTAGAGGACAAAGACCTTGGTTTTCTTTTGGGTCCATTCAGCCTTGCCAATGCTGTTGGCCATCTCCACCAGAGGCTGTTCCATGCAGTCCTACACTCACCTCCTTTTCCCTGCAGGCTGCAGACTCCTGCAGACCTTGACTCCTGCACTGGCACTCACCTGGCATTGCCTTACTCTGATGGTTC